CTCTTAACTGGATTGAGTACTCCATTTATATTAAATGATGCTATTTTTAAAGATCGGTTCTGCATCTATGTGATTCTCCCCCACATCTCACACAGGTACAGTACCTGGTGCATTCCCCCCTCCCCGCGAGAACCGACAGGGAACAAACAATTAACATAACACACATAAAACTGAACACAAATTGTCCATGTAACTTCCTAGGTAGGGGTCTGTTAACCTGACCCTGTTGAGATCCCACAAGGGGCTCGAAGGAAAAAGTCCCCCTCCTCGGTCCAGAGGGAGAGGCCCTTACCTGCAACAGTCAACTGCAAGAATGTACTCAAGTAAAAGTAAAAGTACCACATTAACATTTTGCTTGAGTAAAAGTAAGTAAGTACTTGCTTTTAAAAATACTTAAAGTATTAAAAGTAAAAGTACTTGCTTAATGTATAATGGTCTACAATATCATGAAGTGTGCCTACTGTATGCATATTTTAATACATCACTGGTGCCATTTTAGTGAACAATGCTGCAGATAATGCATAGTTTTGTGTTTACACTCTGTGACACTGTTCACACTTGGACTTGTGATTCAGTGCATCATCACATGTTGTGACAACAGCTGCAGAAGATGTAAATTCACCACCAACCTCCTCTATCAAATCTCAACAAGTCATTTTTTTGAACCAGTTAAATAAGGCCATGAATGGCACATTTCCTCCGTGGTGGAAACCATTGTGGGCATGCTGATGCTCTGCTATTTTATGAAGGAGGGTGCAATGGTATTTTCCTGCTTTGTTCAATGGACCAATTTCAGCAATTCCCCCTCTCGCCACTGATTACTTTCTAACAAAAAATAAAATAAAATAAAATAAAAATTAAATTGACATGACATGAATGTACTTTGTAATTCAAAGCATTACAGAAATGTAGTGGAGTAGAAAGTACAGACACTTAATGTAATGTAGTGGAGTAAAAGTCAAAAGTACCCATGATGAAATCTACTTAAGTAAAGTACAGATTCATGAAAAATGTACTTAAGTACATCTAGAAACTTAGTTACATCCCACCAATGTTCTTTAGATTATTTTAATTACTTTCATAGAGAGATGAGAGAGTCAGAGTTCAAATAATATTGTTTCAATAAACAAAAACCAGAGCTTTCTTTCTCAAAGAGTTCCCCTTTGATGTCACTTCCTGTTTCACTTTAGCTGAGCCAAATTCAAAAGAAATTATGCCATTTATGTGTCATAACGGTTCAAATCATTTGTATTATGTCAAGTTTCTTAAATATAAATATTTTCTTTGACTTTATGTATTTCGTGGTTATGCATGTCACAGGCATTGTAAAACATCAGCTAAATTTATACATTTATACCAGGAAGACAGAAAACAGAAACACAGACGACAAACTCGGGAGCATTTTATTCGCTCACCAGAGTGGCCTCAAATTCCAGAGAGCTGGCACCTAAAGCTTGGCCTAGATTCCACTTCTTGCTYGGATACACAACCAGACGATCCCTGGGCTCGCTCAGATTACGGACGTCCCACCACAAAACCTGAGAATTGTATTAATTTATTTTTTAAAGCTCATTATTCAAAGAAAGGCCTAGAATCAGCATGTCGTCTGCTCATCGTAAGTTTATCTACCTGCCCGTCAGTGGAGGCAGAGAACGCATTGGCCCCGGTCCTGGACTGCAACCAGATGATCTTGCGGACCGGACCTCTGTGACTGTGCTTCAGAGAAGAATACTCCACAGGCTGRCTGCCTTTCCTAGTGTCCCACTAAGCTGTAACAAACACACCTGCATGTGAGCCCACCAGAGCCTCACCCGTACCTAATCAAGTGTGGAGCTGAACCCACTGATCTGCCCATTGTAGCTGCCGCCAACAAGAGTGTGGGAGTCTTTGGGGTTATAGTCCGGGCAGACGAGATGAGATGCTGGTTTCAGAGTTGTCTCCGGGTGGTTTGGGTTCTCTGAAAAAAACAATGAAATAATGTAAAATCTGGGATCGAGGGTAGATTTGGTCCTACTTCCTGTGGGACCCACCGACATCCCAGATGTACGAGTGCGGGCTCAAGGTTTCGGGGAATTCCTTGAACTCATGCCAGGAGTAGGCTGCAGCCAGCTTCCTGCCTCCATCAGGATGCCACGAAAGGCCGGTGATGGTCCGTTTCTGCTTCTTAGGATCTCCGCAGGAAACACACAAACGCAGCCAATAGTCACAGTGAGTCYGTCTGCTGATGTGATGGGTGTCGCCCTACCTGAAAACAGTGATGGTCTTGGCATACGGTGGCTCTTGAATTTCTTCCACCTCCTCCTCTTCCTCAAAGTACTGTTGGGAGGTGTCTATGGTGTTGCTTTGCATGGTGCTGTCCCCTAGTATGACCTAAACCAAATGATACCATCAAAACATTACACTAACAGAGACATCATGAATCTCTGCGCTGGTAATGGACATTTTATTATTATTTAAAAAAAATCTTAGAGCAGTTCCACCAAATCGGTGCCATTTCCGTCCCCAGGATGGATGAATGTGCACATAAAATAACTGTAAAATGATTTTATTATCAATTATAATGTCTTATACATTGACCTAATTGAAAATTGAAGATATATAATTAAAAACATTAATAAAAACTAAGAACACTGAAAAATTTAGTCTATGGTACATGTCCCCACTCTAACTATCCACTTTACCATGAAATATAATAATGTAATATAAAATGAAATATAATAATGTAATATAAAATACAATGATTAAATATAATAATTAAAATAATTAAAAAATATAGGCTTAATTATTTCATAACATTATGGGTTTTTTCTTTGCATTACACATCCATGTTGAGATAAATGTGAGCAGCTAGAGAGGGAAGGAACAAACAGATGTGAGGAGCTGCAGCAGCTGAATATAAACAGTGTTTCAATGRTTCATGGATGTTCTAATTATTGTACAACTTTTAAAAATTTTTACAACAGATTTAAACTCATTAAAGTAGGAACTTGCAGAAGTCCTACTTTTTTTTTGTTCTTTTCAGCTTTATCCCCATTTAGATTTGTGTTTAAGTGCCTTATGTGTTTGTCTGGTGGCTACAGAAGGACTTCTATAATGGCTGCCCAGCTGTCAGCGGATCGTTCATGGTAATAATTTAAGTCTGAACTCGTGATGTTCTGTCACAGGAAACACTGGAGTGGCTTCATTCACAGCCATTCATCATACCAAGCTATTTCAAGCTGGACACAGATTACCTCACTCACCCCCCACAAACATAAGCTACTACTCCCCCCAACCCCTGAGCTTGTTCCTCCACTGCTGCTTCAATGTGAGTCAGTCTTCAGGTCGTTGAGGAAACAGCTAATGACAAACTGTGAGGAGGCTGTGTTTTTCAAACACGTTTAAAAAAAGGGAAACTTCTACTCAGATGAGAGCTAATGAAGATTATGTTGGATTATAAAGGAAAGTTTCTCCAACATCTGCGTCAGCCATAAATGTAAAAAATAAAACTTTTTTGTTTTTAAGTGGGTTAAAAACCCAGGGTTTTAATGTTGTGGGCCTAAATATCAGAGCCAAATCTTTTTTTCTGTGTTAAGTGTCTCCAGCAGAGCGGTCCTGTTTTCGCTTTCATCAGTCAGTGGCAGTCAGATGTTTACATACATGCTGTGAACATGAATGTCAGATAATTATTATTATTATTATTTATGCTTGATTTGAACTGTTCATTTTTCCTGGGTGGATTGGTTGTACAACATATAATTTCAGTGAGTTTTAAAAACAAGAACCTGGTGCACCAGTTTGAATTTAAAATCTGTCCATAAATCGGCACCAGAGGACGACAGCACAACTTTAATAAATCTGTAAAATATTGTACTGCACAACCGCCACGTTTGTTCAGTCAGGCCGAATCTGGATCAACAAGTTCAATGAGCTAAAACTGACAGCAGATTTGAAAATGTTTCGTTTTAAAGTTAAGAACTGGCTGAAAACAGAACCAGTTTGCACCTGTTTTTAATACGGTCATTTTCTGAATTATGTGAACGTACACGGTGAGTCAAAAGTCACAGGACACACTTAWTTTAACCCAAGTTTTGGACATAACCTAAAACATTAATTCCCATTACTTGTGTTATTCAGATGTCATTTTTCCTTTTCCTTTTGAAATAAAAGGGTGCCCTTTCGATATGTTGATTATATTATAGTTTAATATTGCTCTATTTGTTGTAGTTTTACATTTTATTTGTTAAACTTTAAAAGGCCCAGCCAGGGACTGGCTCTAACCTTCAGAACACCAGATGTACTAGATGTCTTTGACAACAAATAAATATATCCACACATCCTCATTAATTGCTTAAATGTCCCTGAGCAAAATTACTACTCCAAAAAAAAAAAAAAAAGACTTTAATCACTGTAACAAAGTACTTAGTTACTATATATATCTGCATGTCTTATAATCATCCCACTCTGGAAAAATGATTCAGATGCATAATATAATGATAAAAAAAATAACTTGTAACAAATGTCTGCAAGCATCTGACTGCAGCAGTTTGTAGCTTTCTGTCATTCATTTTATTTATTTACACCAAAAACTTGTTTTGTTTGTGTTCGTTTTGTTTGTTTTTAATCTGCTAAGCAGAAGCCTTTGTGAGATGAATCTGCAGGTTCATTTAAAATGATGTGCTGTTGTGAGATTATTTCAGGATTTGCTGCCTTCACTGTCTCTCATTTTATTGTGATTTGTAGTTCTGAGGTAACAAACATGTTTGTCTCCATTTAAAAACCAGATGGTTCATGTCTTTAAAAACAGGAAGTGAAGTTGCTGTCAGAGCTGTAAACAAATGTATGCAGCGACAGCACACAAAGCAGTGAGGTAAAAAAAACAAAACAGTTTGATCACCAGTATTTGAAATCAGCTAAATAATTGTTGTTCTGAGCTTTCAGTCCAGGTGATCCAGGTTCTGTTTGTGTCTCCATTTTGGATCCTCATAACCACTGCCTCGGCCAGAATTAAGAAAGAGATTAAATAAAAGCCCAATAATGGAGAAAAGAGGCTCAGATTACTGGTGTGGAGTTTAAAAAGTCCTGGTTTTTGTTTTGTTCAGAGGATTTCTGCTCACCTCCTGGTACCGACTGTCTTCTGTCACTCAGACAATAATCTGGCGCACGTTGATGAGGTCATGGACGGGATTGTTAATCTGAACTGACAGACTGATAAGTGTTGTAATATGCAGTCTAAAACAAATGCTTTTTTTCATTTATGTAGTTGCCATAATGGTTTTTATTTTGAAATTTTCCGCCTTATTGTCTTTTATTTTGCCAGAAACTGGAAGTGCTGCTTTAAAACAAACRGCTCTTTCCTCAGTGTTCTCAGCAGTGGCCCCGTCACTGTGGCAATAAGCTTTTCAATAAATCTGTAAAACAAAAATGCTAAACCTCAACTGGATGTATGTTGTTGTATCACTTCTGTATTTTTTTTTTTCTATTTCAAGATTTAGTGCCTTTTTTGGACAAGTAGACTGTTGTGTAATCAGTATGTAGAAACTCTACATATGCCTTTTGTTACTTTTTCATCTGTTTGATAAACTTTTGATTTGTTATTTTTTAAAGGTGTGTTTTTATTGATATTCAGAGTAAAAGGGAATAAAAGCTGTTCAGACTCCAGCAGTGTGTCACTGTGTTTATAATGCACACTTTAGTGCTACAGATAAGCTTTGTAAACCTCTAATACAGCAATCTCCATGTTTACCGTTATCGTTTTTGCTTCTTCGCTTTAAGTTTTGAGTCTGAAAGTTACGGTTATTTTTTATTGATTTGACTGTTAATCTCTCGTTTTTTCTTAAAACATTGAATCAATTATTAATTAGCATTCTGCATAAAAGTTATGGTCAACATCTTACCTGTTAAAGATGGCTTTTGAATGACCAGGTTTTACAAGCGTTACAAGAATGATGAGCTAATGGCTAGTCTGAGTGGAGCAATTTAGAGTTATCAATTCACTTAATGTGTTAGGACGTTCATTTCAAAAAAATGTCTAGTGTTGAAACGTTACAGATGGCCAACTTTTTGTTTCCTCCTCAATTTTAAATTCAACGATAAAGCTGAAAACTCAGAGCGGATTCAACATCGTGCGGTTTAGTTCCAAAAAAAAATTGTATTTAAAGTGAACACATAAAACATTTATATTTACAAAAGATTACAACAGTTTGGCACAAAAAAAACTTCCCAACTTTTATTTTTCCTCATCTGATTACGGTTCAGACTATTTCACAAAAATAATGGAAAATAAACGTATTATATTACATGTTTATTTCTTTGGATTGCAGCATAAAAATCACAATAATTAAATTAATCAAAACCCAAAGTTGTGCTCAGATTTTTCTTTTTTCATAAGTCATAATATGGTCTCTCTCTCTCTCACACACACACACAGACACACACACAGAACCAGCACTCTGGTGACAGCCTAATGTAGAGATGAAGCAGCGACTGATGAGGGTTACGGTGAGATAATACTGCTGACCAGGCCGAGGCCACAGGAAACAGACGTGAGTGTTAAAGTTTATCCTCAGCTACATGTGTGAGATGTTACAGGAATATATGTTTCATCCAGGGGGTAACAGCAGGATTAAACTCCCCGACTAAAGCACCAAACTGTTTCTAGAAGCTCCCATCAAAGGTAAGGGTGGAGGAGCTGCGTCTGAGTTTCTGCTATTGAAATTACCAGACCGTCAGCCGACGGCCTCATATTGCTTTCTTTTTGTTGACGTCTGGTTTATTTTGAGAGTTTGAGAACACAGAAAGCCGTCTGACGGGAGGGAAGCAGAGCGTTGCAGACGAGGTAGATAGAGGGTGAAAACTCACTTCCAAGGTGGGAAGTTCAGTCTGAGTCACAAACTAAGAGTTTTAGAAGCTGCTGGGCAGAAGCGGGTGATAAATAAAATAGTTTTCAAGGATTTTTCTGGTTGGAAGTAAAAATCCCTGCGTGGTTTGAGGTTTTTAGTGCCCACCAGGGGGCGATATTTGGGCAGTGATACGCCTCCCSTTCTTTAAAACGGTTAACCGAAGTGGGCTTCTGAGTGTGTTATTTTTTTTTTTCTGTAAACAACCCTCTTAACACTTAGTTTACTGTGATGAATGTCACGTTTAGATGAAACCAGTCTGGGTCCAGGTTGAAAACCACTTTAAGGCAGGAGGGGTTTCTGCAGACCTGTGAGCAGGACTGAGCTGCAGGAAACACAACAAAGTTTAAAAAAAGCACTTATAAAAGAGTAAAAAGAATGAAGACTGATGCACTCTGAGTTAACTTGGATCCAATCCAAAACAAACATGGAGCTAAAAATGTCTGACGGCTGACACAGGTCTATAAATAAACAATGCTGGATGTGCACCAGCTCTCAACTCAAACCTGTTCTAATAAAATGACTTTAGTTGCTGTGTGTGAGACAGATGATCAGATACTGCAAACTGAAGGGATTTATAAAGACGGGTGTTTGCTGGAACTACAGACACGTTTATATCCTTGTTTTTGAGCGCTAAAGCTGAGCTTCGCTCTGCTTTTCTAAGAAACAACTCGGCCCAACATAACCAGCTTGTGTCATTCTTAAAACAACAACAACAAAAAAACGTAAAAAAAAAAACACAACTGGTGGTTTGAGAACATTAAATATCAGAAAAACAAACAAACAAACAAACAAAAAAACCTCCCAAAAAGATGTCTCCTTCGTTCAAGTGTTGCACACACACCAACACTCTGATCCTCTCTGTGCAAATGAGTTGATATGAAGACGGTGTGTGCGTGGAAGATACGTGGTCACACAGTTTGAGGCACAACGTAAAGAAACAACAAGTCTGAAGTGATCTCCCCCCCTCCCCCCTAAAAGATCAGGAAGGGAAAGTCCAGCAGTCACAGAGGAAGCAGGTGGAGCGGCTGCTGGTGATCATTTCCCTCCTGATCCAGCGTCAGGTCCACTCAGTGTTCTCTCTCTCACACTCACACACACACACACACACTAGCCAGGCAGGTTCACACAAACCTACTGCGTCCTTCATTACCACTTATTTTGAACCACATTACGGATTAAAAAACCCTCCAAACTTTAAAACTCTCTCCATCCAATCAGTACGGAGCCTGCGAGGGGACGGGGGGATTTGTTTTCTTTTGCGTTCTCACGTAATAGTATTGTGTTGCCTCGCAATACCTTTTGCGTTCCCTTGCTAAAGTAGTTTATCACTGTTGTGCCTGCCGTTTATTAACACATTCACATGTTCACCATTAGCGAGTTAGCCTACTGCTTTAATTCAACGTATGTCACACGCCGATATTTTAACACAGTGCAGCCGCACAACATCAATGTCAAACTTGTGGCGACACGTCCTGTTTTGGTAACCGAATATTTCAAAATAAAAGTCTGATTTAATTCAGTTGATATACAAAACAAACTTGCGTGGGAACGCAAAACAATTTTGCGAGGTAATGCAAAAGTATTGCGAGGGAACGTAAAAGAAAAAAAAATCCCCACGTCCCCTCGAGGGCTACGTAAATCAGAAACAAACCAGACAACAACCAACCAACCAGAGGGTTTTCAGTCTAAGTAACAACACACATGAAACTAAACTATGATGAACCGTAGTCTCATTACATTTCACCCTAAGCCCACCTTCCACGCTGAAACCATTTCCTTATTCTTCAAACCTCTTCTTCATTTCCAACCCTCACATGACAAAGTGCCTCAATATTAGTCTCTAAATGTGTTGGCCACTGAACCGACAGCTCCACCTTTACGCCTCCTGAGACTCAAAACCAACTCTGGAGATCCCCAACTGGGCGCCTCGGGTTGATCAACCTGTCTGTTTACATTAACCACGCAAGTAGCAGCAATGTTCAGGAAATCACTTGTGCAATATTTGTTTCAAATAAAAAAGCCTTTATGGGTTTCCATGCAGTAAAGGTGTGCATTTAAAACCTTTCAACATAAATACACAATGTACACGTCTTGAATCAAGACGACGTGATAAAAGGAATAAAAGACTCATCTGGTTTCCTTACAGTTTGGACGTACTGACAGTTTACATGCAGCACTCCAAATAATTTAACAACGACTCGGAACAGCAACAGAAATCAAAGCCTGCCTCACTTATCTGATCTGTCCTCAACAGGACACGAGCACAGCTGGATGCACCGAGAACAACTGAAGGATTCAGAGCAGAGATTAAATATTTATCTCAAACCAAACTTTTCACTCTGTGAGTTCAAGCTCCTGACCTCAGCAGTGCTGCGGCTCAGATGTTCCCAATCCATGTTTCATGAAGCAGCTCTTCCTCTAAACACGTGCAATACTTCCACCTCACATCCAGTAAACGAGAAAACGTCCACCGGTAAATATCCACGAGTGGGAACAAACAGGAATGTTCGACTCAGTTTAAAACCAATTCTAAATCTTTACTGCATCGGGTTTTCCTCAGCAGGTGTCAGGAATACGTGATCCTGCCTCCACTCTCCCATAATGCWCTCCGTTTCCTCGGCATTTTAAAAATATACATTAAAAACGAGGTTTGCTTTAAAAACATCAAATGCATAGAAAACAAAATTAACTCTCTTCTCGAGCAGAAACTCGCTAAGCTCTTCCTCGACACGTACTCTAGCCTTCCCCTCCTGATCGACACGCCTGCTGCGCTCCGAACGCCGTCGAGTCGCTCACGTCCAGCTCCCGGTCCCCACTGCACCGTGACCACCGTTCACACTCTGCTCACATACACCGACTGTTACTCCAACATCTCCAGTGCATAATTAAAAACAAACAAACTTTAAAAGCCTCTTAGTTTGGGCGACTCTTCCAGTATTCCTCTTGCATGACCACCATGATTTGAAATGAACTTGTGCACACAAAGCAAAACTGTACATTTATAAACACACACACGTCATGCTTTCTTCTCCCCCCCTCTGCAGTCCCTGAGATCACCTCACACTTAGCACAAGGCGTTCTCTTTAAAGAAAACTTCAACACAAACCAGACCAGACCATGACAAAGGCACGTTCTGGGAGAGTCGGTGTGTAAAAAGAAAAGGAAAGAAAAGAATAAAGTCCAGGAAGTAGAGAGGACTCAAAGTCTGCAAACGTAGCCTGCAGAGTTCAGGAGGCTGGCAGTGGAAGTCTCTGAGCGTCCAGGTAGAGATATGCAGGGATACAAACACCTCTCATGGCAAACCGTTTTAAATCCATCAGTTTCTAGTTTCTTATTTACAAATGTTAAAYATTTAGCACAGTGAAACACCGAGGGAGGAAAATAAAATGTTAAAGAAATGCTACAAATATATTCTGTTTTTTTAGATAAGGTTCTACAGCTGAAAGTCTTTATAGTGTTTTAAAAAATGTTTAGTCTGAGGTGCCTGAACGACAAACTGAGTTTAGCTTTAACAAAGCGACCAGTTTGCATTCCTGCATATCAGCTCAGAGTGGTTTCCTCATTTTCCCATCGTTCACTCTGAGCGTCCACCTTCCTGTTTCCTGTAGGAAACATCTTCTAACGTGGTTTAGTCTTCTGCCAGACGTGGAGAACTTTCAGAAACATTTCTGTGGTTTTCTCTTCATCGGTTCAGTTTCCTGTTAGACTGCAGGTTGTGAGGCAGTAGGTCAGCGCAGCGTGAGTCTGTTAGAGCTGTGAGGAGAGGAGGAGGAGGAGGAGGAGGAGGAGGACTGCAGGGAGGTCTTCTCTCCCGTCCAGTTTTGAGTTCTCCTGTCTCAGCTACTCCACGACTTTCTGTTCTCCCCCCGCCGTCCGGTGGCGGGTTCTCCTCGCAGGATGGGAACGTGGGCGGGCGGAGGCAAGTCTGCTGTTCGTCGACTGGTCCGATCGCGCCGAGATACCCGGTCCGGTCGAACCAGCACCCCGTAACCAGGTTTGCAGTGGAAATATCGGTGACCTCCGACGGAGCCGTCGTTCTTACCTGCAGGCAGAAAGTATTTCAGCTTCAGTCGGTGGGATCACTGCTGAGGACGCTTCACAAAGTGTTTCATTTTAGTGACGTCTCCCTTTAAAACTGGACTCTTACCTACAGGAGTGTCCAGCTCCACCCCCACCCAAACTCCATCAGCGAACTGTGTCGTCCCCACGTAGCGCACCGCTCCTGTTTTATTACTTCCTACTGTGACAGACGCCCCATCTGCCAGCCAATCAGGAAGCACGTCGTCGCAGCCGCGCTCGTCCTCGTCCACGAGGATCTCCAGCCTCTCGAAGCCGTCGCCTCCTCCYGAGTCGACCGGCTTCTGGTCGGAGGACGGCGGCTCGGCTGAGGTGCTGTGATTGGCCGAGTTGTGGGGAGCTAACCTGGCGTCGCGCTGAGGAGGAGAGGTCACAACATGGTTCCCGTCAGCGCCCTGCTGCTGAGGGTTTGTGGGCGACGAGGTCTCTGCACCCAGGAGGGAGGAAGACGATGAGGAGGGCTGGAGAACGTCAGACAGGGTAACGGTGGACACGCTATTGGAGAAATAGCCGCTGGACGACTGGCTGAGGGGGCTGAGGGGGGTGGTGTCATGCGGGTCATGCACAGGAAGAGGAGGGGCGTCTGGTAACTCTGTCCGTCTGTCTTTGGCCGGCGGCCGCGGAGCAGCAGCCTGCAGGAAGCCAACGGTGGCCGCAGGAACAGAGGGACAGGCAACGGCATGCAGAAACAGAGCAAAAATATATAGAATAAACAATAAAAACTTATTTTATTTACAAAATTTAAAAGCCCAATATGAGCCAACAACAACATAAGATTATATAGCATGTCCTAAAAAAACTAAATAAACGAAAAAGCTGATTAACTGCTCAGTCAGCAATTTTAAAGCTGTCTGAGCTAAAACTATCTAAACTAGATGAACATTTATTTTTACTGGTGGGATCTCTGTAGTGTTACTCACATTTAAGACAAAACACATCTACTCCTAAATGTAATCACCTGTAACATTTAAAGGATGCATGATTAGTTGTAACATTAGACTTTATTTGATAAACATTTATTTTAACTGTAAAATAAAAACTGTAAAAATACTGTAGGATGTTTAGTTTTTATAATTTTAAAAATATATTTTAACACAGACTGAGCCAATTTATTTACACGCAAAGCATTCTGGGTAAATGATGACTTGGATAGGTCATCGGTGCGAGGCTATTAGCGAGCTATATCCACCCTGAAG